GAACTGTGGCTTGCCCAAGGTCATCCAGCAGGTGCAAGTGGAGGCATGGGGAATCAAACCCAGTTCTCCCAGATTAGAGTCCGCGCACTTAACCACTACACCAAACTGGCTTTCTACACTTCTACTAGGCAAATAGAGAGATTGACTGAGAAAATAAGAACTTAAAAAAAAAAACCTGTCTGAATATTTAGCGACAAATATTTAGACAAGATGCTGCCCTGGCCTGGATGGCCCAGGTCCTGTTGCCACCCTCCAGGTGGGGCCTGGAGATCTCCTGGGATCAGAACTGACCTCCAGGCGACAGAGACCAGTTCCCTGGAGAAAATGGCTGCTCTGGAGGGTGAGGTCTGTGGCACGGTACCCCAAGGAGGTCCTGCCCCTCCCCAAATCCCTCCCTCCCCAGGATGCCCCTCCCAAACCACCCAGAGTTGTCACCCCTAGGCCTGGGTTAGCTTGATCTTGTCAGATCTTGGAAGCTAGGCAGGGATCAGCCCTGGTACTCAGACAGGATGCCACCACGGAGATCCAGAGGTCCTACTGTCAGCTACGCTGCCATGAGTGCGGAGATGTTTTCTAACTGCTTTGCATTCCTTCCCGTGCGCTTAATTGCTTCAGAGCTGCAACGCTTATCTTGGATGTTGTGCTGGTGGAGATTGCGGTGTCTATCGTCCGTGGGAGCGTCTCCGTTCCCAGCTTCGCAACCGTTCAAGAGTCCTGCAGTCTCCCGCGCGTGGGAGCCCACCTAATTGGTTATTGCTGGGGGGGGCGCATACGAATGCCCTATATCCTATTATGCGCACAGGTAGCCTGCCGTTCCTAACAGTGTTCCTGTTATCGCGTCTATGGCTTTTCAATAAAAGTAAAACCTTCCTGGAAGCGTGTACGTCGTTGTTTGGCTGTGGGTCCTGACATTCTGTTAGGAATGGCGGGCTACCTGTACCATAGAGGCCAGGAATGGCAAACCACCTCTTATGGGGTGGCCATAAATCGGCTGCAACTTGACAGTACTCTCCGGCACCGTATTACGGATTAGTTGGCATTCGTGATGGGATCACACTGGATTCTCATGGCAGAGCTCGGCCCCACGTCTTGGTCCCTTCGACCTGTGCTGAACTTCAGCAATATTGTTGCCAAACCTTGAAAGCGGAGGAGCACTTTCCTCTTTTGTTCTGTTCTCTACAGAAGGTGACTTTCTTTTCCCAGATGGGCGACTCGCGAGGGTTCAGGGCTCTCTTTACAGGACAATTGAGATAATAGCATCAAGAGATGCCTTCCCAGCCCCAGCCCCCCACGACTGTGCTTACCTGCTTGCTGTGGTAAAATCCATTCTTATTACAGTTGGGCAAATAGAATCTGTAGATCTCGCCTCCGGTTCTCTGTTGAGCTTTGGCTAACTTGTCCAGAGCCCTGTAGAGTTCTTTTTGACAAAGTCCCTGAAAGAACAGGATTCAGACCATGACTACTGTAGCCTTACGTCCAACATTTGGAGAAACGACAGCTGAGGGGTGACATGATCGAGGTTTACAAGATTATGCATGGGATAGAGCAGGTGGAGAAAGAAGTCCTTTTCTCCCTTTCTCACAATGCAAGAACTCGTGGGCACTCCATGAAATTGCTGAGCGGTCGGGTTAGAACGGATACAAGGAAGTCCTTCTTCACCCAAAGAGTGATTCACACATGGAATTCACTGCCACAGGAGGTGGTGGCGGCTACCAGCATGGACAGCTTCAAGAGGGAACTGGATAAACATCTGGAGCAGAGGTCCACCAGTGGCTATTGGCCACAAGGTATAGATAGGAGCTCTCGGTTTGGGGCAAGTGATGCTCTGTCTTCTTGGTGCTTGGGGGGGCAATAGTGGGAGGGCGTCTAGTGTCCTGGCGCCTCTGGTGGACCTCCTGATGGCCCCTGGTATTTTTGGCCTCTGTGTGATACAGAGTGTTGGGCTCATCCAACATTGGCTTCTCTTATGTTCTTATGTCCTTAAATTTATTTATTTAAAGGCAGATTTAAAGGCAAGATTTATTTAAGGCAGAAGCGTTCCACCAGGCAGAGGCCAGCGACAGTTCCTTACATTTGCCTGGCCCCCTGCCTCCTCATCACTGAATGCTGGCACTGCCCTCGTGTCTCTAAATTGTTTTGAAATGTTTAAACGCTGGGATGGTTTAAGTATTGAGTGTTTTTGCTTTTAACTTATTTTACAATGTACTGAATTAAATCACTGTGAACCGCCCAAAGCCCTGCGCAAGTGGGGAAAGGCAGTCCAAAAAAAATCTAATATAATAATAAATAAATAAATAAATAAAATAATAATAATATACTTTATTGCCATTGTACATAGTACAACAAAATTAAAGATGCAATCATTTCGGTGATCTACAACAATATTCATATACACTCACACACCACTCACTACTGTCCCATAACTCCCTTAAGGTTCACATAGCAACTTAAAACCACCAATGTCACCCAAATCCCAATTTCATACAGCATTTAAGGCAATAATCGCTCTCGAATAAAAACTATTTTTTAATCTATTTGTCCTTGCTTTAATTGTCCTATATCTCCTGCCCGAAGGCAGCAGTTCAAACAGGGAATGATCAGGAATGATCAGGAATAAATAAATAAGTATCAGTGTATGTCATTAGTGAAGGACACTGGAGCAAAGGCTAACTCAATATGGTAAATATATGCTGATGCTTAAAACATATTCCTTTCCCCGTGAAGTAGTACCCATATAAAGGGGATTCCTGCAGTTCTGCATGACTGTGGTCCCATATTACCTTTTCTCAGATCTAAGACATGCTTCTAATTTGCATTCTGAAAAACGATAATATTATACTAGTGCAGACTCGAGTGGAAGTAAATCCACTGAAGACAGTGGGGCTTACTAGTGAGGGAATATGCATCGGATCTAATTGGAAATTGGAAACAGTTAACGCTTGCTTCAAAGACAAGAGAATCTGCTGAGAGAGAAAGAATCCTTAAGGTGGTAAGATTTATTTCATTTCTGAACAGAACAGAGTTCTAGCTGGTTTCTCCCAAGCTGGCCAGATTGTTCACTTTCTGTTCTTTGGCGCCCTCAAGTGGTATTTTCAGCTAGGTTCCTATCCATGTCAGCTTGCTGCAATCTTTCATGATAGGAGTAGCAACATCGACACTACTACTACTACTACTACTACTACTACTAGGGGTCATTTCCTGCAGGAGCGCACAGGAGCAGAGCTCCGGCAGTAAAGAGCCAAGGGGGTGAGCACATGCAACAAGCCCCACCCCCTGCTCCCAGCAACCCTCAGTCAGAGCAAGAAGCAGCCAGGTAAGCTGCAGAGCGCCCCCCGGTCCAAAACAGTCCAGTGGCACCTTTAAGACCAAGTTATATTCAGGTACAAGCTCTCCCTCCTCTGTGAGGACAGATCTGCACGTCCCCCCCCAATAGCTAGCAATCCAAAACAGTCCAGTGAAGCCTGAGCGGTGGGTGTTGCCTTCTGACACATTTCCAGTGATGTCAGGGGGTGTGGTATATGCAAATAAGTTATGCTAATGAGTTATGCTAATGAGCACCTGCACCTCTTTTTCTACGAAATGACCCCTGACTACTACTACCACCACCACCATCACCACTACTACAACTACTACTAACTTTCTGACAGAGCGGCTCC